GGGTAATGAAACGTTTGCAAGAAAAGAACCAAGCTCAGAGAACCCCAAGGACTCCACATATTGTGAAAGCCCAATGAACAAAAGGAAATACAAGATCCAGAGAGATTCACTTCACAGAGATTTAATTACAATCCAGTACATTGTTAAGACTGCTTAAGGACTTAAATGGTCTAGTTGTGTACCTGACTGAAACCTTAAATAGTACTGGATGGGGGGGAGGGAAATGCATATTTAAAATACATAAAATTATAACAACTTACATAAAGTATTACTGCCACTTGCAACAGCATACCACTTCAATTAACACAGAAAAAATATTTATAATAAAGGCTAAATATATGTAATATATAATGAAGGCTATATATATAAGGATGTTATTTTTATTTCTAAACAGTATCTAGCAAAACGTAAAATACTATCTGAACTACATTTTTAACATCATGAAAGTTAACCAACTGAAGAGAATATATGTAGCTCAGGGTTGAACTGTGGACTCCTTGATGTTTTCTAAGCTTGGGTTGTTTCCTTGCAGACATTTCATTACCTAACTAGGTAACATCTTCAGAGCACTGAAGATGTTACCTAATGAAGTAACAAAATGTCTGCAAGAAAACGGCCAAGTTCAGAGAACACCAAGGAGTCCACAGTTAACCAACTCTTTAATTACATTCAACCTTAATTCATAAATTATTTATTTATTCCATTTATATCCTGCTGCAATCCAAAGTGAACTCTTGGCATGTCTCTTGGCAAGTGATCCAATTACAATAAAAGAGCTTTAACTAAGTTTTAAGGAAGATGACATCCTTGATACTATTAATATTTATTAAAACCATCATATCAAATCAGAAGTTGCTTATCAACACATTCTCTGCAAACACAATTTAAAAGGGTCAGAAAAGAAGAAATATAGGTATAACCAGCAAGTAATTAGTAAGTATAAAAATATACAGTACCACAGACTACATTACATATGAGCCCTAAACATCTCTAACTCTTCAGATTTAACCTAAGCTGACGTTAGGAAATAATAACAGATTAAGGTATCTGTTCTAGAAAAATTTGTAAGAGACCAAACAGCACTTAGAAGGAAGACAGAGAAACTGTTATTAAGCAGGAAAGCTAGGGTGCTGGTACTTAAAAGATACTTAATAAAACAAACGAGAAGAATCTGACTATTGTCCACATAAAGATTCATAAACTTCGTAGGTAGAAAAGCACTGCTTCACCTCACCCCAGATTAAGTTAAATTTAAAAAAAACAATCTGAGCGGTTAAGTTGGAATTTAGGAAAGCAACACAATTATTCCTGGTATCTCTCTGCAAGTTTTAATGGCTTTCCATAAAGTGCAGAGGAAAAACAGACTGTACCATATCTGCTAATAGTGAAAATCTTAACACAGGGGACTGGAGTATGATACAATGGATGATCCATGGAATTAAATGAACAGGTATACCTCCATTAGACTGATCAATAGGAAGAAAAAATCCATAGCAGTTGAAAGGAATGGATATTATAGGATATTATTATCATCTGTTATAAGGAATAGATATCCATCCTGTGCAGTCATCTAGAGAGGACATGCTAACAATACTGGCTATGGTGTGAAGTAAGAAAAACAGGTGCCAGAAGACAGACCTTCTCAGTGGTTGCCCCTACATTATGGAATATACTCCTCCCAGAGGTATGTCTAGACTATCATTGCTGGTATTCAAGAAAATGCCAACATTTTCTTTAACATTTATTTCTTTAAATAAGCATTTAACAACTAATATGTAGATGCTGGATCATCTTGATGCTATTCTTGTATTGTTATTGTTAATTATTTCAATTTATATTTTAATTTTTAATTGTGAAGTATGTTGTTAGACCTTCTTTCATTATTATACATTACCCAGACTTGTAAGATGAGTGCATATAAGAATTAAAAAAATACAAATTAAGATTAATGGTTTAGTTTTACCTTAGCTCGGGGCCAGAAGATGAGCATCCAGTTGAAATAAATGTTTGAGAATATTCTTCCTTATTACATACTGTGTTGTCAAGTTTGCAGTCTACACTGTTTAGATTCTGTTGTAATTTCAAAGAATTTGATTCTTCCTCCTCACTCAATGAAACAGTAAGATCAGTGCTTCCATTTAAACTTTTATCTTCCTCCTGCGGTATACTTTTGTCCAACTGCAGGGTGCTTCCCAAAACTGTAACGAAAAGGTAACAATATTATTCCCATTTTTTAAAAAAGATTAAATGTAAATATTTCTTTACAGACAATTAGAATAATGTCCTGAAACCCTTCTGGAATACTATCATAGGCCACAGAAGCTTTTTTTTTTTTTTTTTAATATTGTGTTTCCAGAAAACAAAACAAAATCAGCCTGGCCAAAGAAATGCATACTAGATATTTTATAAAACCATCCACTATGATAAATTAAGACAAACAATCTCACAATACAGTATGCATACAGAGGAATATTTTAGAAAACTATACCATGTTTCAAAATTCTATTTAGAAATTCCCACGATAATGGGGAAGAAAATCAAGAGAATAAAATAGTGACAGAAACAGAATATTTTCTTGTAGCTTAATGAGATTAATTTCTACCTTCCATTTCAAATTATATCCATCCTGAGTTATCCTAGAGAGAACATAAAGATGAGAGTGCAACTCTTCAATTAGCAGAACAATATCTGTTTCAGAAGAAGGTTTCATGAGAGAAAAAATGGTTACTTTTTAAAAATTTAACAAAAATCTAACTTCAAAATCTTGTCAGACTTTTTGAAATAAGTCTGACTTCTACACCAAAAAAATACACACCTAATATCAGAGATATGGAACCATTAGGTATTCAAAAAGGCCAAGTGACTTATTTCACCTGAGTAATACTTTTAAAAGCTCTTTGATTATGCTCTATTACGCCTTTATACCCCTTTAAAGTAATAAAAGAAAACAAGAGAAACATCTCTGTGCCAGTTCTCAGAAAACAGTTCCCAAATGAAGCAAGTTAAGGACACGAATAAACCAAACTTAATATAAACAGTAATAGTTCCTAACTGAATTTCTATTATTCTTTGCTATTAAAAAGCTACTTTTTCTTACATTTATAGATCCTACAGTTATGGGAGAGCATCTCAAAAATCCAGCTGAAGGATAACTTTCTTCCCTTTCTCTATAAGCCCTGAAGGTATATCATCTTTATACCTGGGAACTTTTCTTCTGAGCACTCATTTGCAGAAATAGGTAACTCAGGATGACTGAGCAATGCGATTGGCTCTTTAGCTCCTTGTTCGTGTAGTAAAGCCTGTTCATGTGTCAATGGTTTGCAGGAACTGTAACTTTTTAAACTGGTGGATCTGTTCTCAAAACTTAATTTTCTGTGGATCAGGGATTTAAGTTCAGGGCGGATGCTGTTTTCCACAAAATTATTGCTGTCATTATTTGTCATACTTTCCACTGTTAAACAACAAGTTCTTTCATTCTCATATGATACACTGGATGTGACTGGCATTTCTCCACCCTTCGGCAGAGATGTCTTCCCATCTATTTTGTCAGACTTATTCGAGCACTGTAGATCACTATTAGTTTGAACTACACAGCTGTCTGTCATATAGCAGCTCTGTGATGGTTGTCTATAGGAATGTGGGTCAGAAATTGAAAAGCTCTTTGTGAGTTCAGACTTCTGCAGTGCACTGAAGTCTTCAACGCTTGAGACAGCTGACATTTGGCGGCCCATAAAGATAGTTGCTGTGTGATATAGTCCTCTTGACATGGCTGTCCTGGCATTAATTCCTGACTGCCTTGCTTCTGGCATCATCTGAAAAACAGTTGGAAATCAAGAGAGTATTTTCTATTATTATTACAGCAGAAGGGATTTTTTTTTAAAAAATGTGCCTTTTTAAAAAAAAAGATTAATAATAATAATAATGTATTAAACTTGTATGCTGCCTGACTCCTAATAACTCAGTGACTCTAGGTGGCTCACAACAATCAAACAAAGAAATTACAGTAAACCATAAAAAAATAAAGAAAAAAGATAAGCGAGATAAAGTGAGGGGTCTCACTCTCACCTATATACCTATCTCACTTAAAAAATCTCATATACTAGTTAACTGAAATAAATGGGAAAGCACAATATTTCCTAATGAAATTTAACCCCCAATCCATTTTGCAAATGCGCATTGCCAAATTATTTTCAGCTTTGAAATTCATACTGAGATCACTAAAGATACATACATTTAATATTCTGAACACAGCCAAAAATATTGTTGAATGGGATTATTCTACTTAGTAGTAGTAGCAGCAGCAGCAAAGCTAACTAATCAACAATATTAAATTTAATCATAATGTGGAGAGTTATCACGTATGATGACCTTTACATGGCTTTTGACTCCTGGCAACTGCCTGGACAAGTCTTTGCAGTTTTCTTGGCAAGATTTTTCAGAGGTGGTTTGCCATTGCCTGTTTCCTAGGGCTGAGAGACAGTGACTGGCCCAAGGTCACCCACCTGGCTTCGGGCCTAAGGTGGGACCAGAACTCATGGTCTCCCAGTTTCTACCCTGGTGCCTTAAACCACCACAACAAACTGGCTCCCATGTAAATGGCATAAACATGAGGAAAGACACAGAAACACAAAGCAACAGGCAAACCAGAGCCACCTGATAACCCTGTAGAGATAGAGACAGTTAACAGAAACCAGATTGTTGTTTTTTCTTTGGTGTGAAAGGAGGCAGTATATGGACATAATAAATGCTGTTATTTATAGGCGGTGGTAATATCAGTCATTAGTGTGGGTTAGAGTCCCGTTAGTAGAAAATGCAGAGATGCTGGGATAACTATAGTAAGGTCATCCCATAGTATTATCAGATGTTATACTCCTGTTGGAAAGGTCAGAGTTTGATTTACACTCCTATGTAACATTTCTTGGAGTATATAATCCAGAATCTTGCCTAGTTTAGGGCCCCTTTGCTTTCTTTTGTCTGAGAGCCCAGTGATTACTGTAGTTGTGTATGCCAATAAAAGATACTTCATTGCATCTGTCTTCAAACACTTTGGTTCTTATGTAAGGGGACATTTTTTCCACAACACTCTGGCCCAGTTGGCAGGATCAGAAGGTCAAGTGCCAGGGCAGTCTGCTGCTTTCTGTGCCCCTCTGCCATTTTCACAGGTTTGCGGCTTCTGCCGTGCCTTTCTTCCTCTCCTATCCTGAACCTTTGGAGATACACGTTCAGGGTGAGGACATGGGGAAGTGTTTGGGGATTCTGCAGGAGCGAGTCTGGGTGAGTTGCGATTTTGAAAAGTGAGTTGCCAGTCCCTGCTGTCTGACTCTGCAGGAGCAAGTAACAGACAGTGGAATATTTGGATGCTGGCTTGTATATTAATGCATGAAAGGGGGAATGTCAAAGTGTTGTTGCTCGCTGTGTGTTGTGTCCCCAAATATATTCCCGCCTGTGATTCCCGTGACATCAACTGCCATCTCCATGGCACTTTGCAGTTGGTTGTGGGTATTCCGCTCCACTGAACACAGGCAGTACATAACAATGCAACATGCATTGCCAGGTTCAGTTTCAGATCTGCTTTGAAGGAGTTAGCAGCATGGCTAGCAATATGTCAACACACATTCGTTGTCTCACAGCGCATGACCTGGAGATAATTTACACTAGAGATGGGCAAAATATTCCAAGCAGAAAAAGTTTCAAGTTCAAAGCAAACCTTAGTGGTTTTGACTCATCCTTAAAACAAAACTTGGCTATTTTGAGAATTGTTATTGTTATTTTGCAAATTCTGTGATTGTTCTGTTGTTTTGTGGCTTAGTTAACTTTCTTTCTTTCTCAAGCAGCAGGGACCAGCTACTGTAAGTCTCTCGTTACTGGCTTAGATTACATGTGATCAGGAAAGCCAACATGCTGGGGGAAAGGAGGAGTAATTTAAACACATGTCTGAAGGCCAATTTGGATTTGGTTCTACTACTGCAGAGGGAGGACCAGGATATTGCAACCAACCAACTCACACTGACTAGGTTGCTACACTGCTGGGATTTGCTGATAAGTATCTGACTGCCTCAAGCACCTCACCCACAGCTTTGTTTTTGTAATGTTAAGACTGCTTAGTTTTAAAGCAGTAAGGACTCACAAGTTAGACAAACAAAAAAGATTGCCCTTTTCCCTCCCTAGCTTTTCAATTCATTGAATCACAGAATAAGTGTTAGAGATCCTTAGTCTGAAATCCTGCCTGGTACAGGAATCCAGGGCTCATCTTTTAAAGTTAAAACACCTTTTTCCCTCTCCTTCCAAAAGAAGGAATGCTTGCTTAATTGGGGGAAATGAATTCTTCCAATGAGGTGTGTGTACTAGCTTGATAGCGCAACAGCGCTGCTTGCTAGGCTGCACACGTATGCATGCACACACACACGTTATTAGAGTGCTTTCATTTTAAATCAAGCCTTACTTTTATGGCTTAATCCTCTCTTCCTTTCCTATAAAAACTTCATTTCCCAGCGTCATGATCTAGAAAGGCAGAGGGGCAACTAGGAGGGTCAGAGAGAGAAGGCAAGGGTGAGGGCCTGCTGATCAAAAGAGGTGGAAGCATGACTCAGTTGTCCTTGCCACTGCTGGCAGTGTGCAAATCATCCTCTGACTGGCAGCAGAGCAAGATACTGCCATAGTGGGTGAAGCAACATTGGTATGCAAACAGAGCACTTCAAAGGCATGGTACTGCACAGGTAATGACTTTAGATAAGCAGGGACAGTAGTGTTTGCTGGCTTCCAGCACCTCCTTTGGCTACTTGCCTTCCACTACAAGGCTGTCATATCTTCAGCAGGCAGGTTGAGCCCTCTGCATGGAAAGTGTTGGGATCACTGTGAGCAGTAGGACCCAAACAAGCCTGCACTGCATTCCAGACATATGCTCTGCTTGAGGATGAGTTCATGCCTCTTCCCTCTTCTTCACCTTGCATTGGTGCAATAGCTATATACAAGTGAGGGCTGGTTCACCATGAGGTGCTTTAGCTAGCTTACATGAGGGGAGTATGACCATGATGTGCTTCATTGAGAAGTGGCTATTAGGGCAGCCAAACCATAACTGTGGCTTCAGGGTCACAAACAATGGAAACAGTATCCATACAGCAGTTGTCATACACAGTTTATCAGCATTAGTTGCATTGCCTTCAAAAAGCACCCAAATGAGTGGGATGGTCTTGGCAGGATAGGAACCAACATAAAGATTACCCCATTTGGCACCATGGTTATTGTCAGCTTTCATGTAGCTTTGTGATTGCTACTTCAGCACCTGATCCCCCAGGAAGCCCACATCCATTGGAACTCTATCTAATATTGGCACTGCTTGATCACATCCAACCAACCAGCTGGATGAGACAAGACTTCTGAAAATCCATACTCCATATGCTGGATATAGCCAATAAACTTTTATGATGTTTGGATTTGTTTGTTGACTTCGACTATTGTGCCTTGCTTATGTTGAGCTTCAGGTGCATTTTAAATGAAAACACATTAGCGCTTGTTTGGTTGATTTGTTAAGCTTTGATATGCATATGTAGTTTGGTGCATGCTCTCGCATTCTATTAATGTTGAGCTTCTGAATGCATTTAAAAATAAAAAGTCACTTCAATGCATATGACATGGCTATGCTGAATTTTCTGAATGATTTGCAGAGTCCTACTATGTAAACAGGAAAATATACACTTTCCCTAAAGCTGCTTGAACCTCAAGTTTCTAGAATACAGGTTGCAGAGGAAGAATGATCAAATTCTTTCCACCTACCCTTACAGAAGTGTTTTTGTTTATATATGCTGCTATTTGGATCCTAGCCAGCATTTCTAAAAGCTATCCCCCTCATACAGAGGATGCATAAATTTAAAATGAACAGCCAGGCATCAGAACAATTTGCAGTATGATAGTATGATTATACTATAGTACTATATGGCTTTTGGATATCTAATGTAAAATATTTAAAATAAAAAAAATGTCTAGATAAATATTTTAGGTGTTATTATATAAAACGCGCACAGGGAAAACTGGTATTTTAGAATTCTATCCATATCGTTTAATAAATATATGAACTAAATGAATGTTTGTATTATCCAAGTCTACTTATATAGGTCAAGGTTGGTGAGGCTCATGGCTGCGTATAGAAGGAAGAATGGTCTAAATTCAAGGTTTCAACACCTTTTTAATCTACACCCAGGAAAAAAAATCTATAACCTCAGATTAACGACTGCTAATGCAATGAAGAAAATCTTTCTGCCACTATTTAACACATCCACACACACACGCACGAAATAGTGTTGCCTCTGTTTCTTTCCTGATAAGAGTCTTAAATACCAAACAGTTAAATGCATAATAACATTTACTGGCAGCAAGACAGCCTGCTTAGCTGATACATAAAGCAGGTAAAAGGAGGAAAAGTTAATTTCTTGGCTGAATGATTCCATCGGTAGCTATAGGGCAAACTAGAAAGTCTTTCAGTAAAGTAGCAGTTGATTCTTCTATCAATCTGCAGCACACATACTCTTCCAAGGAATGCATTAAATATGAAAATCATATCCTGTTATCATCTGTTTCCAGCTTTCAGCCCAGTAAGCTTTCCTTAATGAATGTTGTAGCCTAAGGGACAAGCATGCTGTTGGCTTTTCTGAATAATGGAGTGATGCTACCCATTTTGGCTTATTACAATATCGACTAGCTGAGGGGGTTTCACATATAGTCACAAGTGACTACTCTTGCCAGCATGCTCCAAGTTATTACAAGATGTTTTTAGTCATTTCATCTAAAAGAGCTTTCCTGCTTTTAGGGAAGAAAAACAGTTCTGGTCTTGAACTGTATCATTTATATGGAGATAGGAGGGGGGATTAGAAGGCTGCATTACCACAGATATATAGTGGAATATATTTGAGTATTACTTGTCGGCTTTGTCTGTGGTTTAGATATGCAATCTCTTCTTTTTAGAAGGAAAAGAAAGGTCAAAATGTATGAAATTATAAATTCAACATATTTCAATTAAAATTTACAGGACTTTGCCACACTATTTTGAGTCTAGAATTTAAGAATGCTAGATGAATGGAATACTAGGTAAAGTGCGGGCTTCTATTCCTGTTCAATTTTCAAAATGAAAGGCTTTGCTGCTCACCAAATGTCACACTGTTTAAATGGCATGTGAGAACAGCCACGCAAGTTTTGCAACAAGATTTTTTTTAAAAAAAATGCAAAAACTTCCTCAATTAAAATAGATTGTGTATACAATCCAGTCAATACCTCCAATCCCACTGATTCAAAAAAGAGATATAAATATGGCCTGAATTTTCCCATTAAAATAATGGAATTTGCCTTACATGCTTTAGGAATTTCCACTTACCTGATGTTTAGTAGCATCTCTCATTTCATCTTTTAACATATCTTTTCTCCCAACTAACAGCCTATTTTTAATTTCTCTTTCATACTCTGCCTAGTATAAAGAGAGAGATTATAAATAATCATTAAGCATTCTGGTTGTGATGTAGCCAAAGTTAAACAGATGTGTCACTGATTCCAATGGAAACCAATTAAGCATATGTTTTACCTCTTCCTTTAAATTAAGTATTTTATTTGACCGGATTGCTGTAATATACAGTAAAGAAATGTAACATGTTTAAAAGCATTCTGAATAAAATTCTCAGTAAATATTCTACATATTTTAATTTCAATCATTTTGAATACTGTATTTACCCAGAAAGGAAGATAGTATTAATTTGAGATGATTAGCCACAGAAAAAAAGGAAGATTTTACAGGAGCAAAATTCATATGCCTCCATTACCATATTCTCAAGAAATGTAAGACAACTCTCCGATTTTAAAGTTAATTTATTTGGAAAATAACTAAAGTTCCATTCAGATATAGTATATAATAATGGCTCGAAAGCTAAAATAATGGTTGTGTAAAATACTTCTATTTTCTTTAAAATCGACTACAGTAGTTTATTCAAGTGTTTCATTAATGCTCCCTATCTTCTATCTAAGCAGCCATAGCCTAGTTGTAATATTTTACACTCTCTTTTATAAGATTCATCATTAGACTACAGAAAAAGCTTTAGAACTGTTAATTGCTTCTTCAGAATTTATCACCCCCAAAAATTCTGGGTTTTAGGTGGCATTTATATAATAAGACTTCTCATAGATACAAAGTTCATAAGAACTATGAATTACAAAAAAAATGTGTAAATTTGGCAGAAGCCAACAAAGGTGATGATGCAGTAAATTCAATATAAGACAGTTCATCCAGCAAACCAAAATCTTCTTATAAAACATAATGAGCATTTGAAAACTATTTAATAGCTATTAAAAATCACATGCTGCACATGGGTAGAGACAGAATCACAAGAATTTGAAATAAAATGAAATGCCAAGAAATATTTTCTCTATATTCTTTTAGGTCCAGTTTCACTGATGTTACAATTAAGTTGTATATTTAACAATTAGAGATCAGGTACATAAATACATACTGCAAGATAAATATTCAAGTCCCTCAAGCTCTCCAGCCCTGCCTCGTTTCCAAAGCTTTAAGAATATAAGAATGGTACTGCTATACTTACCTATCAAAATATGATATGTAAGACTTCCTGAATGGATAAGTCGGGCTCCTTCAAAGTTATTGTTACTTATTATAGGGTAGAACACAACATACCTTTAGCTTTTGAAGGGACTCAGAACTTGAAGCAAACTTCCTAATGCGAGCTTCAATACAATCAAATTCTTTCAATAAATCTTGGTTTCGGAGCAGAGACTTCTTCTGACGCTCACATATTTCATTTAAATATTTTTTTAGATTTCTGTATTTCAATTTAGTTCTACACAGGGAGAAACAAAAAGCCAACCATAAGCAAAATAGAGCTATGTTCTATAATAGCTTATTTTTGTAAAGACAAACATTTCTTCAATATGCACAAGATTATCAGAAGAACTCTGTCTAAAGCCAGTGTTAGACAGAACTATAAAAATGAACCACAATCAATGTTTGGGGTTATTCCTTTTTTCTTTGCATGCGCAAACAGATTTCTTGAATAGCACGTTCAAGATAACAATTTAAAATTCCCCAAAGTATAATCTGGTTATAGTCTGAGTCTAGGTGCAGCCCAAGATTATCTTATTTTGTCTCTCCCCTTTCCTTGCTTGCATATGTTCAGGAAACAAAAACATCATTGCAAACAGGGGTAAGTCTAAATGTATCACCTCTGTGCTTGTCAAATTATGCACACTGAGGAAGACAGGACTAGCCTGGACCCCTAAAATAGTACTTGGAAATGGTAAGAATTGAAATACAACCTTCTTCCTTTGGTTCTTTCAACCCCAAATTTCCACACAACATATCTTTAAAAGAGTAGTTACAGTAATAGGCTCTTCAAATTCCTCAGAGAAGGTTTTTTGGATTACTTAGGAGCACATGCAAAACATTTTCAAACTATTAAGCACCTGCATTTTTTTCCAGGCTCACAAAGCTGCTTCAGAAACTGCTTCTGGCTGATTCCACATACTGCCATGGGAGCCTGTGAAAAAGACATGGCTGCTTTAACAATTCAAAAAGAGATGTTTTGTATATGTTCCCCACACATTTCAAGGGACCTTTTTCAAAGGATTTGAATAGGTCTCGCTCTGAACAATGTAGTATTCTGCAGCTATTGGCCCTATGACTGGAGTTGGGCATCTCATATTATATGACATGCTTCCATAGGGCAAGTTGCCAATCCCTCACTGAAAAGAAAATTTTACTTACTTATTAAATAGTCATTAAAATATATGCATGCAATAAGGAAGCTATAACTTTAAAAAAGGGTGGGAGCCAAGGGAAAAATCCGGTGTCAGTGGGTTAGGCTATGTTTGGGCAAGGAAAATTAATTTTCTATCCAAGATTACACCCATTGGAAACCTGTAGGTGTCTGACCCCCAAACTAAGATTCTGTCCACCTTCTAAGAAGTTTCAACAATAATTTTTTTTTTTTTAAAGTAAGTCTCTAGCTTTTAAAGTAAGTCTCTAGAAATACAGGAAAGTAGGCTGCTAGTATTCTAGCCAAGTGGTCAGACAAATATATTTGTTATGTTATTTCTGTTGGTCAATTCAGAGGCCCTTTATGATAACTAATACAAGTGAAGCATGCCTTCTTCTGAACAGTTGAATTGCATGTTCTTCACTTTTCCATGCAATTAAGTAATTTCAAACATAGTGGCTGACATGTATTTATATTCTTATTTTTCCACATCATTTCTTTACACCTCTCTTTCCACCCTCTCAAGTTAGGTTAAGACCCATAAGGTTTCTAGCTATGGGATCTATTTTTATCCAGTGATAACCTAGAATTAGGTTTTGCTTTCCCTGGGTGCCTTCTCTCCACTCATCCTCCCCCATTCCAATTTTCAATAGAGACTTAAAATTCACATATACCAATAAATAAATCTAACCATATATGCCAATCAGCACTGTAATGTATCATATTAATTGTTAAATAAATTTTAAACATCAATATTTTCAAATTATAAATTATGTAATAATACATAGTAAAACTAATAAAACTACAAGTTTATTTAAAAAGCTTACATGCAAGTATCAGATGTGCTGTATTCAAGCATTTTTCTTTCCAACTCCACCCTCTTTGTTTCACTGGAACAAGCACAGAATGAAGTTACTGTACAGTCTGTGTACCATAAATAATTTTACAGTAAACAAAGAGAAACTACATAGTATCGTAAACCTTCTAGAGTTTTGGGAGTTGAGTGGTATAAATAAATGTTCACAATAACCTTCATCCACCACATGTCCCCAAACATTGATAACTGTGATTAATCAAAATGCATTACAATTCTTATCTAGGCAAGACCATACAGTTATTGGAGGTTACAGCGTCATGACAAATAATGAGTGGCTATAGATGAACATTTGCTCTGGAATGATCATTCAGAAACTCACAAAATGCAAGAAACTGGACATTTATAATACCCAACCACTACTGAGAGGTGACAAATTAAATACACACATGAAAAAGTCCTCTGGGCCATATGCTACAGACCACTGGCTTCTCACATGGCTATACATACACTAGAAACTACCAAATACATTATTATGGATTACTCTGGAAGGATGACTGTCTACAGTAGCAAAAGTAAAGTTACCATGTCTTTTCCCAAATATTACAAAATAAAAGCTATGCATGATATCACTGCAAACATTCCAGAATCCACATTATTTTCCTCTTTTTCTTTCCTGTTCCTCTTTCCTGAACTATAGCTTGAATAAACAGAGAAGAAAATAGTGATAGCATGAGGGCAGAAAACATCTCTGAAGACCAATTCCTTGAAACTATTAGTAAATCTACTTGGGCTACTTTTTTCAAATGTTTAAACATTTAATTATAGTTTTGTATGTATAGCATACAATCTCTCACAAACCTCAAAATCAAAGATTTTGTTCTAATGTGCTTTTTATTGTTCAACGATTCCTTCTAATAACAATTAGATATTGCTGTCTTACTATGGACATTTTATAATTTTAATTCATTTATTTGATTCATCACTTAAGTTTTTTTATTAGCTGCAAGCTATGTTGAACCCCAGTTTGGAAGCTATTTTGAGAATGCTTGTGGCAAAAGAAAGGTCTTATAGCACTATAAACTAGGCTACCATACCTGGGCAAAAATCTAGATGAACAATAGATGGCAAAAAAGAAATACAGAAAACTCTTAATCTTTGCTGCCATTTAATGTTCATCTCAGTTTTTACATCCCATATATAGTATCCCTAATTAAAGACTAACCAAATTTATTACCACATAAGCTTTTGTGTATCATCATCCATCAGATGTTTGGAGTATGGTCCTGCATACGTATTAAAAGTTCTGCTTTCTCAAGATCACATTCTGTATAATGATTGAGACATCCCATCTGCAGCCACTTCCAGTATCAAAATAAAGCTATACATACAATGAACAAGTACAAACACTGACTTTCATCAGAGAAAATAAACAGATTTCGATTCCTATTAAAGGTATGTGCCAAAGTTGGATATGATGTTAAAGGCAACATTAGTTGTATTTGGTTACAACTGTAAGTCTCAATGGAGATACAAATTTTAAATAATCCCATTTAAAATTAAATACAAAATTGAAATAAATAGAGATGATTATAATAAGTGCATCTATATCCATTGCCAAGGATAAAAGTAATGCATATACTGGTACATCTACTTTTTATAAAATCTACCTCAACTTTTTTGTCTTTTAAATACATTTTTTATTGTTTTTAGATGAAAAAAATAATATAATTATTGATAACCTTGTAAGACTACTTTACAGAAGTGTGAAAGATTCATTTCCTCTGAAGTCTTTCCTGAAGCAAGTTACTCTGCTACAGATGTATTTCTCATCTGACAGATGATGTCAGTGCATGTAAAGGTAATTCCTTCCCAAAAAAGTATCTGTTGTGCTCCTCCTTAAAGAAGCCAGGTTAGGGGATACCACAGAGTTCTCTGCACCAGTTGAGTCAAGCTCTACTGCAGAATTCAGTGCCTTCTCTGCCACCTGGGTGGCAAGGTTTGGGTCCATTCCTCTACTCAGTCAGGACCGTCTCTAAAATTTTATTAAGAGTCTTCGGAGTCCTGGTCGGACATGCAAGGACACCTTAAGTAATGCTTCCAGGTGAAAGACCCAAACTACACATACAAGCAAGCTTATTTGGTCAGTTTCACACAAAGCATTTCAAAGTCTGCAGTTGCATCAGCTAATCTGTATTTGGTCATTTACACATTTCTAACCAAGTGGAAAATATCCAAAAAGTTTACCTTTGCACATGCACATAATATTGGCACTTCCATAGCAACCTACTATATGTAGGTTCCATAGTAACCTACTATATGGGGAAAGACCTGAACTACACCTTTGTACCCCTGTAAGCACAGTCACCATTCTTTGCTACTTCAGCTAACTTTGCATCATAATACAGGTAGCCTCACTTAACAATGGTAATAGGGACCAGAATTTCCATCGCTAAGCAACGCGATGCTAAGCAATGCTGTCATAAAGTACAATGTCATGTGACCAGTTCCAGCAGTCCTTGGTTACTGTCATTAAGCAAAGACCGCACAGGTCATTAAGCAAGGACCTCACATGACCACGACTTGTTGTGGGAAGCCAACGGGGAATGTTGCAAATTGCAATTACATGTCTGTGGGATGCTGCGATGGTTGGAAATCCAGGCCAGTTGCTGAGCACCCAGATTGTGATCACGTGACCGCAGGGGAGCTACGATGGTCAGTACTGCAAGGACCAGTCATAAGTACCACTTGTTCAGCGCTGTTGCAAGTTCCAACGGTCGCTGAATGAGTGGTTGTTAACCGAGGACCACCTGTAACAAAATCTGCTTAAGGCTAAACCTCTTTATTAGGACTAAATTCCTCATGAAACCCTCAAATTCCTCTGGGCTCATCCATCTCTTACAAAGGGAAAGGAAACAATTGTTATATATAAAAAGAAAGACACTGCGACAAAATAAACTATCATTCTGTAAATAAGCATGGAGTTTTGCTGGTATACCTCTAGATGGAGACAACATGTATTAATTGTTCATACAATGTTATTATTAAAGTTTTGACAGTTCATAATCAACTGATCTTCTCAGTAAATAAGACAAAATACCCCCCTGTCATACACACACACTCATACCCTTAAGATATCAAGAGAATAACTAATAAGAAGGAGATAATCTCAGTATAAGAACTCTGCATTTATCATTTTTGGATGGTGACAGTGAAATTTTAAACTATATTTTTTCCCAAAACTAAACTCAGAAGAATTTATTGTATATCACTCATGACCAAATAAACCCAGTTTTGCCACACAAACTTCCAGTCCAGTCCAAATAAACAACAGTGCTGCCAAGTTGACTTCTGGGACATATAAAATTCAGAATTACAAGGGAATGCCCTGGGAGTAAAGGTGCACTTGAGAACAGCACAATGCCTGTCATCAGATAAGATCTGTTGAGCTAAGGGAAAGTAATATAGTACACCTGATTAGTCTTGTAGCCATACTGTATCAGGATTGATGAATACTAGCTGAGTTAACATACAATAACTGAATATACTGGTTGGCTTTGCATCCAGATTAGACTTGAGGCATATCAACTGCATCTGGGTAGAGCAGTTCCAGTCTCTGTTTGAGAGTAGCTCATTGATAGAAACAATTCATAAGCATCTGTGACTGATCACCCCATGCCTTACAACTTCAGATATTCAGTATTCTGAATCTTTACTACTTAGGTCTTCACTCTTTTCCCCTTACCCTCTGCAACTTCAACTAGAAGTGAGACTGGTTTGGCTCTTAGCTTTACTTGCTTTTCTTTTTTATTTATCTCTACCCACAAATACATCCTTTTTTGCAGTTAGGACTTTTGCTATTTCTAATGAAAAGCTGTCTTCACTAGCTTCCTATCTGGAACTGTTGCAACCTTCTGACTTTTGTATGAGCCACGGTGGTAGGCACAGAGGAAAAGTATCTGTCCTTCATTAATAACTGGAGTTTTAGAGTTATGCCCTTAGCGTTCATTTTAATTTCCACTAAACTTAGTTTAATTACATGTTTTAACTTTTTATTCAGTTCCCACCAATTCTTTATCTTATCCTACTACTATTTGGGATTGCACTCTGTGTTATACATTTGAACACCAAATGCAGCCTTGACAGAAAAAAGACTGGAGATCCTTGGTGTAAAAGAGAATAAGGAAGCAGCAGCTTTAAGCAAACTTAGAGTTACTGATTAATCTATTCTATTTCAGTTTAACGTCTACCAGGTTTGGGATAAAAATAGTTTGAATCACCTTGAGAAACAAGGATAATGTCTTCTGTTTATTATTATGGATCATGTTAGCAGATAAGACATCAGACAGTCATTCCATGCCTTTCTGGAAGACTATTCCTACAAGATGCTTCTTTCTTCTCTATTCCTGCCAGAAACGGGCTGCTGTCACTATAGCAAAGCCAGGCCAGAGAGTAACAACTTTTGCCAAATTAATGAGAAGAAAACCTAAGGATATAACCTTCTGTTTAGGTAAAATCAGATAAAATAAAACATTTTTCCCCTCATCCAAACTGAATTGAGAAACTGTCCACTTTTTTCAATATATTTCTCACAACTGAAATATAATTGGCAATATAGAAGATAATGCAGTAAATCCTCTGAGAATAACCATAAGAGCAAAGCCTTTGTTCAAAAGTAATTGGCTGATATCATCCCTCAGTCACTGCTGAGGGCATAGTTTGCATTCTTAAAGCTGTGAACATTTGCCAAGCTTTGTAAAAGGTTATACTGAATTAATATTTAGTTCTCTTATGGTCTGGTTTCAACCTGCCATACCACAGCAAGAATCGTTGTCAAAATAAGGTTCTTATCGCTCCTACTGTCCAAACTATAAATCACCTATTACATGTACAGTAGTTAGATTCCAAATAAATACTTGGCATTAAGTTTGAATACTTATCCAATAATTCATGTAAGGCAGTAGTTGATGTACTTGTAGTTGCCCTGGCTCTTTTCCAGTTTGTCATATATCCATTCTTTCATACAGACATCCAGAACAAGAACAAGAGTCTAACAGAATAGACCCTGTATATGGACAA